TGCCCTCATTCCTTTGTCTCTTTCCTTACTTTTCAACATCAATCATCTCTCTCCTCCTGTCCCACATCAACACTTTTAAAATAATTTTTCTTTTTATCTTTTAAAAGAAACTATTTGCTATAACTGTGTTAAAATATAAAAATATAAAATTTGTTTTTAAAAATCAGATTAAATATAATTTTACTCTTTAAACTTTTATATTTTAATGCATTTTTATTTTTAAATTTTAAAAATAAATAAATGTAGCACATTTAACTTAATAACATTAATTTTTTATTTTACATAAATTTTAATGTATTTTGATTTTTAAATTTTAAAATTAACAAATACAGTACATTTTACTCAATAATATTAATTTTTATTTTATATAAATTCTAATATATTTTCATTTTTAAACTTTAAAAGTTAATGAATGTAAAACATTTAACTTAATCACATTAATTTTTTAAATACTAATTTGACTAACAAAAAAGTTAATATTATTAGATAAAATATTATATTTATTTATTTTAAAATTTAAAATTTTTAAAAAATTCACGGCTATGAATATATTTAATTTGAAATCTTTTACAACAAAATAAGTGTAAAATATATCATAGGAAACCGTACTCAATGTTCTTAAATGTACACAGTTTCCGAATGTCCAATATTTATTAAACAGTTTTCATGACTATTTATTTATTATATTTATAGATTTTAATAACTTTTGTTTCAAATATATTTTATGCAGTGTTATTTTCGCAAAACTATAAATGAAAATAAAGTATTGAAACTAATAGGATAACTCTCACAAATAAACAAGAATGAATGTAAATTTATATTAAACACTGTAAAATAAAAGCAATCAAAAGCAGAACAAAAGTAAATGAAAAAAAGGAAGATAAATATAATAAAAAAAAGCTTTTCTTTTGGATTAGGAATTTAAAGAGACAAAATGAGTGAATTTGTTTAAGTAATTGTGATTGTTTTGAAAAAAATAAAAATATATAGTAATTTAATAATTTAAAAGTATCAAATTGCCCTTTAGTCAAACACTTGTTATTTATGTATCACAAGAAGGACACTTTTGATGAATCAGTCTAGTGTGACTATGAATGCATATTTGTTATTTTAGACAAGAAAGATGGTGTTATAGACCATAGGATTTGAAACCTTTCATTTGAGGTGAATTCTTCATGCACAAGTACAAACAAAATGCTTCTATTTATAGGGATTGGTCGTAACATGATGTGTTTAATTTTTAAATGAATTTTAAAATGAAAAATATTCATGTACATAAAAGAATATAATTTTATATTTAACATATATTTAAAGAGAGAATGAAAGTAAGACGTTTATAAGATATATAGTCTAATAAAAGAAAAGAGAAATAAGAAGAAAAAATATATATATTTATTATTATCTTTCTAATTTCTAAATCAACTACAATATACAATACTTTTTTAATTAAGTGATTTAGTAAAGTACCTTGAAAATTTTTGCTATAATTCCTCGCATCGACTTTTTACTATGAATATCAAACAACACTCTTTACTTTTTAAATTTGAAGATATTGTTGAAGTATCCAATTTTAACATCAAACAAGACAGAAGAAATATTTTATAGTGTTTTTCATGCACCCATAATAAATTATCTAGAGACACAATGGATTAGGTAGATTATCCATAATTGATTATAAATAATCTTTTTACATATTTCTATTATAATAGTGATAAATAATTAAAGTTAAAAATTATGCAACGGTTTAAAAGTTAGAAGGGAGACAGGGAGAGGGAAAGAACCGTGACGTGACACGTAGCTTTCTTTCATGATGATGATGTGATGAGTAGTGTAGTAACAGCAGTACGTGAGAAATTCCCTCCCGAAACGTCGACGTGTCGCTTTCCTTAACGAGTCCCAATCAATCTGGGTTCTCGTAACGTCACCATCACCTTAGAAACCACTCTTCACGCTTCAACTTCACCACCTTCCACGTTTCGCCCGACCAAAACCCAACCCTCTGTGCCCTCTTCAACACCTCACCTCCTCCCTCCACGTGTCTCTCCCTTTCCAAGCGGCACCACTCTCTCCCGCCTCGAGATTCAAGCAACGCGCAGCTAGAGATTCGCACCTCCCTCTCCCTCCACCACGTGTCCTTCCTCCCCTCCCCTCATTGCTTGCCACGTGGCTCCCTCCGAACCTTGGCTAAACAGATTCTCATTCTCCGTTCCTCGATAAGAAAGGATTTAGCGGTGCACCCTTCGTTAACGCTCCCATTACGTGTCGCTAACCGCCATCCCTGCCTTCTCCCCTTCCGTCACGTGTCCCTCCGTTCCCCTGATCACATTAATTCATTTTTCCGTTTCTTTTCCAATCCAATAAATCGCGAATCCCACGCCCACCACTCTCTTTTCTCATGTTACCGATAACCATTTTGAATTTCCTTTCTCAGAAGCCATGGTTGAAGTTGAAGAGGTAGAACTCGATTTGGCGCTCTCCATTGGAGGTTCCTTCAGCAGGCACACCATCCACACACCACCTCCTCCGGATTCCAAACCCGACTCCTTCACGCGTCTCGTGGGTGATCCACACGACAAGCGTGTGATTCAAGCGCTGCGGAGAATGGAGGCCAAGAAGAAACGAGAGCAGAAGAGGGAACGCGTTAGAGAGACAGAACCCGAGTGGGAACAGGTTTCTAAGAAGGAGAAAACGGAATGTGACAAAACCGTTACTGCCTTTGGCCCGTGGAGAACCACCGAACCCTTCCGCGTTCACCAGTTCGCCACGGTCCAGTACTTGCCCTTGAATACCGGCTTTCCGTTACCGTGCTGGGTCGGAAGCCAGAAGAATGCAGGTGGAGTTGACGGCGGTAAGGGTTGTGATAATAAAACGGAAAAGTCTAACTGCTCTTCTAAGTGCAGCTCTTCTGCGGATTACCAAAGCTCTTCTCGTGAAGGTGATTAATTATATTAATTTATCCATTTTTAATTTAATATTTTAAGTTTTTTCTGTTCTTCTTCGTTTATTCTTCTTCTGCTGTTTATTGTAACTCGTGCAGCAGTGTGCATGGACCTGGAACTATAGAAAAATTATTCATTGACTGATTTGAGTTTGAGAGCTGTGTAAAGTAACTGTTGTTTAAGCATGTGATACTGTCAAAGGTCGAATCAAGAAAAGAAAATTTGTGTTGCAGTGTTAGGAAGTTGCATTTTTTTTGAATCTGGGATTGTTTGCATATGCACATTAAATCTGAGCTTCTCTGGTGAATTTTAATTTTGTTTTGAAAAATTAAATATAAATATGGAGAATCACGGTCCCATACATCTTTAGAACAAAATGTAGATCAACCTTGTCCTGTTCCTCAAGTTGGGTGAGTGAATTCATTCTGATGAGAAAAAGTTGTCATTTTTTTTTGTCATAAACAGACAAGTTAAATGGCATGAAAAGAAAATGAATTTTTAGTTTGTGTATATATGTTATTGTAATGTTTGTCAGTTTAAGTTTGAAGAAACTCTGTAATTTTGATGTTTAATCGGATATAGTTTAAAGATTGTTGCAAACATTGTTTTCTCAGATGGGGGAAGCAGTGATAGCCACAGCCATTCAGTTCATTCTTTGGCAGAGCAACCCCATTTGACCACTTCCAAGGAAACAAGCATAGGAACCCAACCTGAAGAAAGTGCTTCTGCTTCATCTCACCCTATGAAAGCCAAACAAGGCAACAAAACGGAAGAAAGAAAGCACATTGCAAAGGAAGCTCAACCAAAACCAAACCCCTCTTCACCCGAACCTATGAAAATCAAGCAAGAAGCTCCCACAAGCCACGATGCGGTTCTAACAATGGCAGTTGAGAACAAGTCTCTGTCGAACGAAAACTCAGCCCCCTTGATGGAGGCGAAAGGTGAGCTGGGAAAGCCTCCGAAGCCTCTCTCTCACACCTCTTTACTCCCTCAAATGCCTTATGTGTCTACAAAAGGGAACAATGGGAAAACTGTTCATGGGTTTCTATACAGATATAACAAATCTGAGGTTAGCATTGTCTGTGTCTGCCATGGAAGCACATTTTCACCTGCTGAGTTTGTGCAGCATGCAGGAGGCACAGACATCACACACCCTTTGAGGCATATCACAGTAATTCCTTCAGCCTTGGGTTGATTAATCTCTTTTTTTTTTTTTNTTCTAATTTCTAAATCAACTACAATATACAATACTTTTTTAATTAAGTGATTTAGTAAAGTACCTTGAAAATTTTTGCTATAATTCCTCGCATCGACTTTTTACTATGAATATCAAACAACACTCTTTACTTTTTAAATTTGAAGATATTGTTGAAGTATCCAATTTTAACATCAAACAAGACAGAAGAAATATTTTATAGTGTTTTTCATGCACCCATAATAAATTATCTAGAGACACAATGGATTAGGTAGATTATCCATAATTGATTATAAATAATCTTTTTACATATTTCTATTATAATAGTGATAAATAATTAAAGTTAAAAATTATGCAACGGTTTAAAAGTTAGAAGGGAGACAGGGAGAGGGAAAGAACCGTGACGTGACACGTAGCTTTCTTTCATGATGATGATGTGATGAGTAGTGTAGTAACAGCAGTACGTGAGAAATTCCCTCCCGAAACGTCGACGTGTCGCTTTCCTTAACGAGTCCCAATCAATCTGGGTTCTCGTAACGTCACCATCACCTTAGAAACCACTCTTCACGCTTCAACTTCACCACCTTCCACGTTTCGCCCGACCAAAACCCAACCCTCTGTGCCCTCTTCAACACCTCACCTCCTCCCTCCACGTGTCTCTCCCTTTCCAAGCGGCACCACTCTCTCCCGCCTCGAGATTCAAGCAACGCGCAGCTAGAGATTCGCACCTCCCTCTCCCTCCACCACGTGTCCTTCCTCCCCTCCCCTCATTGCTTGCCACGTGGCTCCCTCCGAACCTTGGCTAAACAGATTCTCATTCTCCGTTCCTCGATAAGAAAGGATTTAGCGGTGCACCCTTCGTTAACGCTCCCATTACGTGTCGCTAACCGCCATCCCTGCCTTCTCCCCTTCCGTCACGTGTCCCTCCGTTCCCCTGATCACATTAATTCATTTTTCCGTTTCTTTTCCAATCCAATAAATCGCGAATCCCACGCCCACCACTCTCTTTTCTCATGTTACCGATAACCATTTTGAATTTCCTTTCTCAGAAGCCATGGTTGAAGTTGAAGAGGTAGAACTCGATTTGGCGCTCTCCATTGGAGGTTCCTTCAGCAGGCACACCATCCACACACCACCTCCTCCGGATTCCAAACCCGACTCCTTCACGCGTCTCGTGGGTGATCCACACGACAAGCGTGTGATTCAAGCGCTGCGGAGAATGGAGGCCAAGAAGAAACGAGAGCAGAAGAGGGAACGCGTTAGAGAGACAGAACCCGAGTGGGAACAGGTTTCTAAGAAGGAGAAAACGGAATGTGACAAAACCGTTACTGCCTTTGGCCCGTGGAGAACCACCGAACCCTTCCGCGTTCACCAGTTCGCCACGGTCCAGTACTTGCCCTTGAATACCGGCTTTCCGTTACCGTGCTGGGTCGGAAGCCAGAAGAATGCAGGTGGAGTTGACGGCGGTAAGGGTTGTGATAATAAAACGGAAAAGTCTAACTGCTCTTCTAAGTGCAGCTCTTCTGCGGATTACCAAAGCTCTTCTCGTGAAGGTGATTAATTATATTAATTTATCCATTTTTAATTTAATATTTTAAGTTTTTTCTGTTCTTCTTCGTTTATTCTTCTTCTGCTGTTTATTGTAACTCGTGCAGCAGTGTGCATGGACCTGGAACTATAGAAAAATTATTCATTGACTGATTTGAGTTTGAGAGCTGTGTAAAGTAACTGTTGTTTAAGCATGTGATACTGTCAAAGGTCGAATCAAGAAAAGAAAATTTGTGTTGCAGTGTTAGGAAGTTGCATTTTTTTTGAATCTGGGATTGTTTGCATATGCACATTAAATCTGAGCTTCTCTGGTGAATTTTAATTTTGTTTTGAAAAATTAAATATAAATATGGAGAATCACGGTCCCATACATCTTTAGAACAAAATGTAGATCAACCTTGTCCTGTTCCTCAAGTTGGGTGAGTGAATTCATTCTGATGAGAAAAAGTTGTCATTTTTTTTTGTCATAAACAGACAAGTTAAATGGCATGAAAAGAAAATGAATTTTTAGTTTGTGTATATATGTTATTGTAATGTTTGTCAGTTTAAGTTTGAAGAAACTCTGTAATTTTGATGTTTAATCGGATATAGTTTAAAGATTGTTGCAAACATTGTTTTCTCAGATGGGGGAAGCAGTGATAGCCACAGCCATTCAGTTCATTCTTTGGCAGAGCAACCCCATTTGACCACTTCCAAGGAAACAAGCATAGGAACCCAACCTGAAGAAAGTGCTTCTGCTTCATCTCACCCTATGAAAGCCAAACAAGGCAACAAAACGGAAGAAAGAAAGCACATTGCAAAGGAAGCTCAACCAAAACCAAACCCCTCTTCACCCGAACCTATGAAAATCAAGCAAGAAGCTCCCACAAGCCACGATGCGGTTCTAACAATGGCAGTTGAGAACAAGTCTCTGTCGAACGAAAACTCAGCCCCCTTGATGGAGGCGAAAGGTGAGCTGGGAAAGCCTCCGAAGCCTCTCTCTCACACCTCTTTACTCCCTCAAATGCCTTATGTGTCTACAAAAGGGAACAATGGGAAAACTGTTCATGGGTTTCTATACAGATATAACAAATCTGAGGTTAGCATTGTCTGTGTCTGCCATGGAAGCACATTTTCACCTGCTGAGTTTGTGCAGCATGCAGGAGGCACAGACATCACACACCCTTTGAGGCATATCACAGTAATTCCTTCAGCCTTGGGTTGATTAATCTCTTTTTTTTTTTTTATTTTAGGCCTTTTTCTCAGTTCTATATCTAATAGCGTGTTTGAAAATGTTCAGATGTTTAGAGATTGAAGTTATATCATTAGCTGGAACAAACAACACTCTAGGAGAACTGGGGAAGAATTTGATTCATCTGACTTATGTTATGTTACCTTTAGGCTGAGTATGTATTTTTGTTTCCTGTTTTAGATTATATATATTATATTTATTTTGGTAAAGTATGATTTTAGTTGCCCAAGACTTTCAAAATTTTATATTCTTTTGTCTTCAAATTTTTCCTATAAACTATTTTTTTGTCTGTTTAAGTTTTGTTTAAAATATTTTTAATTGGATTACTATAACACGGTTATTAAAAATATCAAAATATAATCACCAAGCACTAAGATTGCTTTACTATGGTTGTTAGTCGCACACTAGGTGCAGCAGCCCAAAAGGTGAAAGAAAAATTAATTCGTTTTTTTTAATTGTGTATAGAAATAATGTAAATATTTTTTTATTATATGAGACGTAATTTCTTACTTTTATTATTATGGCGAAAATTTATTTCTAAAAAATTATTGTATTTGTCTTTAATAACTCTTTATTGAAGAGTTGTTCCTTATCCTTTATTTTTTATTTCCTTTTTTTCTATTTTCTTGTCTTTGTTATTTCATTCTTTTATTGGTTAACCTTAAATTCTTGTTTTACTTATATTCACAAAATCATTCTTGTACCACTTCTTTATATATATATATATATATATATATATATATATGAAAGTTTCAATATATATACTTATTTTTAGTTGATAATAATAAGAACATGAGACTTTCAATATATCTTTTTACGATATAATAATAAGAGATGAATATTAATAATAATAATAAATTTTATTAAGATAAATTTTAAATCAAGTTATTATTTTTAACTAATAATTTGATAGATGCAAATATATATTACATATCCTTAGAGTTTTATATGGCAACTAATACCTACGACTCATACAATAAGTTTTATATTGATTATGTTTTGAGTTAATGTAAAAATATGAAGATTGATTTGGTAAAATATTTTTTTTTAATTTTTTGATGCATGTAATAGTGAAGACTGGGTTACCAAGTTTTATATCATTTGTAAATATTGTTGGTTTTATGATGTATGTAATAGTAAAATCTTTATGATTGAGATACAGATAGAGTTGTGTATATAACCAGTTTGGCACCTTTTTGCTAATAATCAATTTGGTCTAAATAATTAAAAATGTTTATAAAATAAATTAGAATGAATTTAAGAAAAAAAATATATTAAAAATATTAATTGAAAGAATAGAAAAAACCTATTTTTATAACAAAAATACTTTTTTATTTAATTTAAATTTTTTAGAAAATATTAATTTATTCTAACTTAAATATATTTAGAAAGAAAAGTATATAATAAAATAATATCTGTAATTTAAAGTAAATTTTTAATTTATAATAAATACTATTTACCAATAAAACATAATGTAGTCACTCCCTCATTTACTTTTATTCTCTCTCCACAGCAACCATCTCAGCACACCTTGCTTTTTTATTTTTTATTTTTTATTTTTTATTTTTAATTTCCTTATCCTAATTGATTACAATTTGATGGTCCCTGACAAGCTCAATAAAAACCACATTAGGGGTAGTGTTTTTTGTTTGGCTCAAAGCACCTACCATTCTGGGAGAAGACTTGTTTATAGTTAGAGAATAAAGAGAAAAAAAAGTTAAAGGAAGAAGAGAAAGAAAAAAGAAAACAAAGTCAAGAAAATTGACATTAAAAGAAAAAAAAAATAAAGGACCTAATCATGATGATCTCTACATTTATAATTTTAATATATAATAAATTCATTTATTTACATTAGTAAAAATACATTTGTCACACATATGTGTATTCACTCTTTTCTATAATAATAAAAAAAACAGTCATTATTGTTATTATATTATAAAATTAAGTATAAATCATTTTATACTTAAGTAGTTTTAATTTATTTTATAGGTAATTTTTCAATTGAAAAATTATTAAGTTTAAAAAAGTCGATTAAATTTAAATAAATATTCACTTAAGAGATAATATTGATAAAATAATTATTTTAATTTAAAAAATTATTTAAAAGATAAAATTAGAAAACAAAT